AAAAAGAAAATTAACACCAAACCAAACAAACAATGTCACGAGAGGGAGCCCACCCCTGACACTGCCTGGAGTGCCAGAATCTAGAGGCTGGACAGCCCAGAGACCTAGGATAGAACCAGACGTGTGTGGAAAAAAAAATGTCAATGTAACACTGCCTAAGGATAGTCTGCTACACTCATAGATTGGTGCCTAGTCAATAGTCATCAGAGGGGCTTCATCCAGTACCTGGTGGAAGCAGACCCAGAGACCCACAGCCAAACATCAGGCTGAGCTCAGGGAATCCTGCTGAACAGAGCAGGGAAGGATTGTAGGGGGCACAGAGGTCAAGGACACCATGAGAAAACCCACAGAATCAACTCACCTGGCTCACAGCAGCTCACAGAGACTTAAGCAACAACCAGGGAGCCTGCATGGGACTGACCTAGGCCCTCTGTATATATGCAACAGTTGTGTACCTCCGTGTTCTTGTGGACTAACAGTGGAGCAGGAGCTGTCCCTGACTCTTGCAGACTTGGGGGACCCTACTCCTCACACTGGACTGCCTTTCACAGCCTTAATACAAGGCAAGGTGTTGTCTTACTACAAGATGATATCCATGGGAGGCCAGCCATTTTGTTAACATCCATGGACAGATTAAATAAATAAATAAAAGCACTTTGCTCCTCCGTATTCTCTGCCTCTCCAACACCTCTTCATGTGTCTTGGTGGCAATGGGAGCCTCAGTGTCACACAGTATACCCTGTGGTCCTATCAGCTTTATTTGACAATGTTCATTGCAATGGTCTGGTTCGTTCAAGACTTCCGGTTTCTGGTACACATTCTTCACTAGACCCTCTCTGCAATGCCTCTTAGTTTTCAGGAGGGCGCCCCCAGTCATGGAGACGCTGTGATTAATGTTCCACAGGACCCGTCCCTTCACATGCTCTGGCAGGTCATAGATGGGGCAGATGTTAGGGTGAGCCAACCCCAAACCCTGGATGTGGGCCTGGGTGGTAGTTGAACTAGTCAGACCTGGCCACTGGGGCCGCCCCATTCAGGTGTGCAGCAGAGCCCGCTCTCATGCCCATGCCATCAGGGCCAGCTTTCCCACACCCATGGTGAGCGGTAGGGCCATCTCTCCCAAGTGCTGGGGCCAGCTCTTTGCTGCAGTGTCCAGCGAGGGCCAGGGCCAGCTTAGGGCAGGGCTGGCTCAGCCTGACCCTTGGCTTTCATCATGCATGGTTCTCATATGGCCCCTGTGGAAACACAGGCCCCAGATATCAACAGATCCCAGCTGCAGCAGGACCCCGAAGCCAGACAGGGCCCTCAGCAGCTCAGACCTAGACAACATCATGGCCCTGGTTGGCAGCACAGGCTGCTTAGATAGCATGGCTCCTGCAGTGTCACGGTCCTCGGACACCATCCAGCCCACAGCTTTGTGGCTCAGACTCCAACCTTTGGTGGCAACACAGGCCAGGGACTTCAACACAGACCCCCGGCTGTTTTAGACTCAGGAACCCAGACATGGGACTCAGCAGCAGAGGGGCCTAGATGTCACCATGGCCTCAGGGAGCAGCCCAGGCCACTCAGATCATCATGGCCCCAGTGGCAGTGTGGCCCTTCAACACCAATAAGGCCCTAGGTGGTGGCCCAGACTCCTGGCATCTGCATGACCTTTGATGGTAACAGGAGCCAGGGACATCAGCACAGCAACTGGCCGCCTTAAGACCACCGACCCAGACATGGCCCTCAGCTGAAGCCCTAACCAGTTGTCACCAGGGCACTGGGTAGCAGGCCAGCCCACTAAGATCTGTATGGCCCCATCTGCAGCATGGGCCTCAGAGACCTACATGACGTCAGGTGGTGGCTTGGACCCTGGGAATCTGTATGGACTTCTGTGGCAACTGAAGCCATCCATGGGCATCAACTTAGACCCTGGCTGCTGCAGGACCCCAGATCCAGACATGGCCCTTGGCAGCAGCTCAGGCCCAGACTTTACCATGACCCTGTGTTGTAGCTCAGGACACCCAGATCGTCATGGCCCCAGCAGTGGCATGGGCCTCGGGCACCAACATAGCCACAGCTAGGAGCCCACACCTGGGCATCGGTGCCACCTTTGGGGGTGAAATGGGCCATGGACTTTAACACAGACTGGCTGCAGCAGCAGAATGGACCCAGACATGGCCCTCTGCAGCAGCCTGGCCTCGGAGGTCACCATTGGACATAACACAGACTGGCTGCAGCAGCAGAATGGACCCAGACATGGCCCTCTGCAGCAGCCGGTCCCCGGAGGTCACCATGGCCCCAGCTGGCTGTGCAGGCCCCCCAGAGCAGTATGGCACAGCTGTAGCATGGCCTCAGGAGGTGGGCCAGACCCATTCACCCATTTTTAAATGGTGTACACACATTGCAAATAGCAATGGGTCTAATACCCTTTATGTTCAAAGTGTTCCTTAGCCATTTTCAACCTCATACACTCTTTTTTCTCCTCATTACATTCTTCCCACCTACTAGTCTCCTTATTCTTATCACAGTCTGCCTCTTGTTTACATGCATGTCATATAGTATGCATGAGAAATGTGTTTGTTTTAATCACGGATTTTTGACTTGTTTGGTTCTCTTATAGTTGTTGGAATCCATTTATTCATTAATTTTCTGCCTGATGGATATGTAGCAAATATTTTTTACCCATTCTGAATGCTGTCTCTTCACTCCAGCAATTTGCTGGCTTTTGCTGTGGAGAATGTTGTTAATGCCTCATGATTCCATCTGCCAAATATGGAGCCCATTTCCTGAGCTACTGAACCTTTTAAGAAGGTTCTTGGCTATACATACCCTTCTCTTGAGGAATTTTCCCTATATTTCCCTCTGGCATGTTCAGAGTTTCAGGTCTCATATGAAGGACTTTGATCCAGTTGGAACTGATTTTTCTTCAGGATGGAAGATAGGGATGCAACTGATTTTTCTTCAGGATGGAAGATAGGGATGCAGGTTTAGTCTTCTACACGTGTATATCTAGTTTTCCAGGACTATGTGTCAACGAGGAAGGCTGCCTGTTCTCCAGTGTATGCTTTTGGCATTTCTGTCAAAATAGCCACAGAAGCCGCCTATGTTGTCTGGCATGTGGACCCTAGCGTCTTAGTTTTCCATTTCTGTGTTTAAATAGGAGTTAGTGTCTGCAGAAGTCAGGGGACAGGAAAGGAGCCATGAGAGGAGGTCTTGAGGGGAGGGACAGTGCATGTGACATGAACGTGGAGTTGGGGGGACTCTGGGGCTAGAAAGGTTTAAACGGGGATGGTGCTACGGGCAATGGGGTTGTGGGAAAAGGTCAACCAAAACTTAGGACACAGGCAACAGCCATGCAGAGACTTACTGAATTGAGAAAGTGACTAAAAAATGTAATTTTTTTGCTATTGTAATCACATCTTTCCTTCCTTTCCTCCCTCCAAAGATTCACATATAGTCCTCCCTGATCTTTCAAATGGCGTTTTTCATTAACTGTTTCTTCAAGCATCTGTGTATGTGTTCATGTATATACATATATATTTTTAAATACAACCTGCTCAGTCTGTATCATGCTACTTGTATGTATGTTTCCAGGACTGATCATTTGGTACAGGATTAACAATTGCTACTTTTCTCTGGGGAAGACTCTTTCTCCAGCTCTCAGTATTCCTTAGTTACCTGTTTGCTTTTCTAGGGCTGAGGCCTAGTTCCGCTTGCCCCTGTCCAATCAGACATGTCTATTGGTGTCCTTGCTCAGCTCATGTTTGGGCAGTCACATTGCTGAGACATAATGTGTACCTTCTGGCATTACTAGGAGACAGCCTCACAGCTTGTTCCCTGAATCTCTAGTTCCTAGAATCATTCTGCCCCCTCTCCCGAAATATTCCCAGAGCCTTAGATGTAGTTGCTTTGTAGATGTATCCATTGGAACCAGGCTCCCGAACTCTGCAGTTTGATGGGTCGTTGTTTTCTGTAATAGTCTCTGTCTGCTGCAAAAAGAAATAAAATTCATGGTAAGTGAGGACTACACTTACCCGTGAGTATAAGGATTTAGAGTACAGGTAGGTATTATGCTACTTTAGTAGAGTGGTGGTTGTAGGTTCTCCTCCAAGATCCACGACTTCACTAGCTCTGGGTAGCTGGCTAGGTCTTCAGTACCAGGCGTGACTTCCCTCCTATTGAGCAGGGCTTAACGTCCAATCAGAGAGCTGAAACTTTTGAAAGGAGGTACCCTAAATGAATGGATAATGCTGCTCACAAAGGCCACAGATTTCGAAACAAAAATTTCACCACCAGTTGTGGGCTATTTCCTTCTGAGTTGTTGGCTAGAGGCTCCCAAAACAATGGAGGGTACCGCCTTTGGTAGGTCACCCACCGGAACTAGACAGCAAGACCCTATTACTGATGAAACCCCAGACCTTGCATACAGGACATATACATCAAGCTAGAACTAAGCTGGAAGTTTCCTCTCTGCCGGCTGGTGTTCATAGTGCTGGAAGGTCCCGTGCAAGCTGTGGAGAAAGCAGACATCAATGGCCTTACCCAGCTCTGGATCCCTAGTACTATAAAGCACCCTAAAGGGCAAGATGCTGCTACCTGTGCAGTACTGACAAGACTGCTTTGGAGCAGCCAATTGTTTTCTGACTGGATTTGAGGCCTGGCCATGGGAAGAAGTACATACTGGGAATCTCAGTGTCTGCACTGCTGTGAGAAAACACACGACCTGAAGCGACCTGGGAGGAAACAGCTTACTTCTTTCACAGCGTGTAGTCCATCATCTAGGGAAGTCAGGGCAGGAACCTGGAGGCAGGATCTGAAGCAGAGAACATGGAGGAGTGCTGTTCACTAATGTGCTCCTCATGGCTTGCCCAGCCTGCTTTCTTTATTTTTTTCACCTTCTAGTGCCTTCTTAAGTTAATTCTTCATTAATTTTCCTTTTACAGTTGAGATTATAATGTAACCACAATATTTCTCCATTCCCTTCCCTCCCTCCAAACCTTCCTGTATACTCCTATTTGCTCTCTTTAAAATTCATGGCCTTTTTTATTAACTGCTATTACACACATACAGAAAGAGAAACACCACACACGCGCACGCGCACGCACACGCACAGGTAAACTGCCCAAGGAGCCAACTCTATACAAGCATGTACTGTGGTAAACTTCGCTCACCATTCTCACCGGGACCACCATCATTGGTTACCGATTCTACTCCCCAAGCTGCATCTCAGCACCTCTCTGAAAGAGAGCAAAGTCTCTCACTCTCAGCCCTCTGAGCAATCTTGCATCTCCGTCGTGACCGCTGCCACTTAGAAAGTGCTGTCTTCTGGCCATGCCCCGGTGACCACACTCACGAACTGACAGAAGCTGTGTGTGCCAGCCCAAACTCACAGGGGCGCTCTTCTGGATTCACCCTTAAAGAAGAAAAGCTACTGACAACTGATAGCGGCAGGGAGAAGGAGAATCGTTTTTGAGGGGTTTCTACTGCCCGGTTTCCTATGGGGAGCAATAATTGAGCTGAGGGGAAGTCAAGAGGGGGCATGCTAGAGGAACATGACAGAATTTGGAGAAGGAAATTGAGGATTACACATAATCACCTTTCATTATATACATGTATGTAATTCCCACTAATTTTATACAGATATATAAACACACGCACACATATATTTTCTGACTGGATTTGAGGCCTGGCCATGGGAAGAAGTACATACCGGGAATCTCAGGGTCTGCACTGCTGTGAGAAAACACTCGACCAGAAGCGACCTGGGAGGAAACAGCTTACTTCTTTCACAGCGTGTACTCCATCATCTAGGGAAGTCAGGGCACACATATAAAACAGAGCACAAAATCCCTGGATGCCAAGGAACCATCTGTTTGATGCCATGTTACTCTGGGGGGGGGGGGGGGGGGGGGGAGACACACTAAAGGGGAGAGAGAAGCTCCGGGTGAAGGAAGGACATTTTTGACTCTGGTTTGGTACTATCAAAAGGGGTTCTGTTTGAAATCATTGTATACCTGTGGCTAGACATTTTTCTTAATTACAGCAGCAAAAGAAGTCCAATAGGAACGTATACCATGAATCTGTTAGGGAGTATCTTTAAGAATAACCTAAAATTGCCCTCAGAAAGCGTCTTCTAATGTTTTCGATTGCCGTACCACTACTGCTCCCAATCTGTCCCACTGGAAGGCCAAACATTACCTCTTTCTTCACCACTGCTGTTACAGCAGCAAAAGCAGCAGCATAATGTGGAGGAGAGGGCTGAACTCAGAGAGAAAGTCACCGTTCATTTCAACAATAATGCAGCACTTTCAACTGCCCACAATTAGGTCAGCAAACCCTATTTTCTGGACACGTGCTTCCCCATAGTGACCCGACTCTGCTCCCACATATGGGACAAGGACAGCTGCACAGCTCAACAAAGCCAAGCACTGACCTCGACCTTCTCACCTGCCACATGCTGCTCGATGGACTATTGTATAGTAGATCAAAGACATGTCCTTGCTCACCTCAAGCATATGAACATACCCCACTCAAGAGCCAGGACCCCATCTCCAATTACTATGTCCATTTTGACAAGGAGAGCAACAGTGAGCAGCCACTGCAGAGCACATCTGCTTTCTGTAGGCACTCTCTCCATGAGGTATTTTGAGCCTTGCAGAGACTGATGCTCATACCTTTCCTGATTCCAACATGCTCTCAAGAGACAGTCAGGATGCACACCTGATCCCTGGGAAAATGCAACAGGATCTTGTCCAAGGCTAGCCAGTCCCTCTTGAGTACATGCCAGGATATTCACCAAATGCAAACATTTCAGCAAACCTCTACACTGCCGCTAGTGAGTTTCCTTAAGTCACAGGGATTTGGCATAAAAGTATTCCATTGGCCCAAGAGATCTTTGAGGCAAGAGGATACTAATGAAGAAAACTGGTGAACCACACAACTATCTTCACATCACTAAGAAGAGAAAGGCAGCGAGGGATTGAGACTGGGGGAAAGAGCTGAATGAACAGAGGAAAAGAGAGGAAGGAAGGAAGGGGGAAGGATGGAAAGAAAAGAGGCAGTTCAATCACTGAAATTGCTTAAGATATTTTTTTCTGAATTCTGTTTCATTTGTCCTGCTTAGTTCCTTTAGATAAAGTTCACACATACAAATTTGTATGTTTATAGACATCAATAACTACACAAGTTCTAGATATGTAGGCATATAAAAAAGGACTATTTAACTCCCGGATAGAATCACCATTAAGGAAGACCAGAAAGTTATGCAAGAGATAAGGGTCATGAGTTGAGCTTCATCTCTCTCTGCCATGCTCTTTTCTTTTCTTTTCTTTTCTTTTACAATTTTAAAAAATCTAAAATATATCATTTCTTCCTCCTCTCTCTAGTCTTTCTCATGTCTGCCCCTAACTCTCTCTCAAATTCATGGCCTCTTTTTATTATTATTCTTTCATATACATAAATATATAAATACCATCTTCTGAGTCTATTTACTGTTACTTGTATGTATATGGTTTTCAGGGTTGATCCCTTGTGGATAACAAATTTAGAGGCTCATTCCTTGGGGAAGACTAATTATCCCTTTTTCAGTAATCATTAGTTGCCTGTAGTTCTTTGTCTAGGGGTCCTATGAGATTTCCCCTTCAGAGTAAGCATGCCTATTGGTGTGGTCATTATTCAGGTCCATTGGCAGCCATATTTTTGAGGTATCATGGGTATCATTCCCTGTCATTTCTAGTAGACACAATCCCACAGCAAACTTCGTGGTCCTCTGGCTCTTGAAATCTTTCCATGCCCTCTATGATGGTCCATGAACTTCAGAGATGGGGGTTGTGTGGCAGATGCACCAATTTGGGTTGGGCATCCTACACTCAGTTGTTCTCTGCATCTTCGTCAGTTGCAGTTTTCTGTAATTGTCTCGGTCTTTTGCAAAGAGAGACTTCTTTGATGAGAGATGAGAGCTACATTTATCTGTGGGTATAAGGGCAAATATTTAGAATGCCGTTAGGTGAATTACTGTTACCAGACATGGCATCAACAGGTTCTCCTTGAAGATCCATGACCTCATTAGCAACAGGTAGTTGGCTGGGTTTACAGTCCAAGACATGATTTCTCCACTGTTTAGCAGGGCTTGAAGTCCAATTAGACAACAGCTGGTTGCCACCAGAATGTGAGTGTCACCACTGCACTTAGATACCTTAACAATGCTGGTCATGTTTTTGTCACAGGCCTCACAGACTGGTAGGACTATTGACTGCTTCCTTCTTTCAGCAGCTTGCATAGCACCTTCCATTATTATGAAAGCTAGTCCTCAGGGAAGATGCTTTCAGGTCAGGTTCAGCTCAAATCCTCCAAGTCCTGTGTCTGAAGAACAAGATGTCATCAACACTAGGGATTTATCTTCAACTTCTGGGAGCAAAGGCAATAGCAATAGCCTATATTGTTTTGGGAGTCTCTTGGACTCCCCTGACCAACAACAGGAAAGGAAGTTTCTCAGGCTTGGTACTTGGGGGGTGGGGGTATTGTTAGATAGTCTATGGCTCTTCGAGGAAGCATTAGTATGTACCCCAAGTGACATAACTTCACTCAAACTATTTACACCACATACCTACTACAGAAGGTCCTGTAGATGGAGCCCCTGATACACTGCCCACTAGAATCTGGCCACAGCACTCTGGACCACCCCTCACTTGAACTGACACCTCTAGATTCCACTTCCTCTGAGCAGAAAGTAAGTAAAGCAGTCAACACCCACTCCTCCAACAGCAGTCAGTATCAATCCCTGAGAGGGGGTATGTCTTAGTCACTGTTCTATTGCTATGAAGAGACACCATGACCAAGGCAACTCTTACAAGAGAAAGCATTTAATTGGGAGCTTGCTTATTGTTTCAGAGGTTTAATCCATTATCACCATGGCAGGGAACACGACAGCATGCAGAGAGGCACTGGAGCAGTACCTGAGAGCAATATCCTTATCTGTAGGCAGAAAGAGGGACACTGGGCCTGGCATGGGCCTTTGAAACCTCAATGCCCACCCCTGGTGACACACTTCCTTGAACAAGGCCACACTTCCTAATCCTTATAATCCTTTTGAAGAGTGTCACTCCCTGGTGATTAAGCATTCAAATATATGAGCTTATGGAGGCCATTCTTATTCAAACCACCACAGGATATTAAGCAAAGTTAGAGGGACATAGGTAAACAAGGAAAACAAAAGCAGCCTCTATAAGATGGTTGCTTTTTGTTCCCAGACAACTCTGTGAGGAAATGGCAGGTATCTAGACAGGACCAGTAGGGGAAAGAAGAGGAACCAAGGGCCCTATAAAGTACCCAATTCAGCCTTGGTTTAGTGGACTTCTAGCCTTAGGCTTCTGCCATCCTGACAGGATAAAGCTGCTGTTTTCTCCTTCTCGGTGGCTTTGTCTTCTGTCTTTCCTAGTCATTCAATTCTTTGTTCATGTCAGGGAGCAAATTCAGTAATCCCCTACACAGCTGTCACATCTCCATTCCAACAAAGATGCCAAAACACACACTGGACAAAAGGCAGCATCTTCAACAAATGGTGCTGGGAAAACCTGTAGAAGAGTGAAACTAGACTCGTTGAAATCACCCAGCTCAAAGAAAAAAGAGCTCCAAGTGAACCAAAGAACTCAATGTGAAACCCAAAATACTGAAACTTAGAGAGGAAAATTTGGCAAGTATCCTGCATGAGACAGGTGTAAGAAATGACTTTCTGAAAAGGACTCACTTTGCCCAGAAATAAGGCCAACTGACAAGTGGCACCTCATAAAACTAAAGAGGTTCTGTACAGCCATGAGAACAACCAATTGGGTGAAGAAGAAACTCACAGAGTAGGCGAGAATCTTGGCCAGAGAGACATCTGACAGAGGATTAATATCCCAAATATACAAAGAACTTAAAAATAAAGAGTTATGAAAACAAATGACCAATTAAAATAGACTATGGACCTGAACAGAATTCTCAAAAGAAATAAAAATGGCTGTAAAATGTTCATAATCTTAGCAATTAGAGGAATTCAAATTACAACTCTAAGATTTCATCTTACACTACTCAGAATGGCTAAGATCAACAAAACAACCACCAACAAATACTGTTGAGTAATTTGAGAAAAGGGAACCCTCATTCACTGTTGGGGGATTCAAAACTGGTAGAGCCACATTGGAAAGAGTTTTAAGAATTCTCACTAATCTAGGAATAAGTCTAACATATTACACAACTATAATACTCCTTTGCACATGTCCAAAAACATCCTGTTCCATGATGCTTGCTCAGTAGTGTTCACTGCCACTCTATTCACAATAGCTAGTGTGGTGGTTTGAATAGGTATGGCCCCCATAAACTCAGGTGTTTGAACACTTGGCCCAAAGGGAGTGGTACTATTAGGAGGTGTGGCCTTGTTGGAATAGATATATCCTTGTTGGAGGAAGTGTGTTACTGTGGAGGTGGGCTTTGAGGAATGCTATGCTATGCTCAAGAGACGCCCAGTGTAGGACACAGCTGATTCTGATTCTACTGCACCCAGTGTAGGACACAATTGATTCTGCTCCCTGTGGATCAAGATGTAGAACTCTCAGCTCCTTCTCCAGCACCACATCTGCCTGCATGCTACCATGAAGATAATGGACTAAATCTCTGAAACTGTAAGCCAGACCCAATTAAATGTTTTCCTTTATAAGAGTTGCTGTGGAGCCCGGTAGTAGTAGTGCATGCCTTTAATCCCAGCACTCGGAAGGCAGAGTCTGGCAGATCTCTGTGAGTTCGAGGCCAACTCAGTCTACAGAGTGAGTTCCAGGACAGGCTCCAAAACTACACAGAGAAACCCTGTCTCAAAAAACAAAAACAAAACAAACAAACAAAAAAGAGAGTTGTTGTGGTCATGGTGTCTATTCACAGCAATAGCAACCCAAACTAAGATTGCTAGGAAATCTTAGATGTCTGTAACTGATGAATGAATAATGAAAATGTATGTAATGAAATTTGCAGGGAAATGGAACTATAAAATACTATATTGAGTAGAGTAACTCAGATCAGAACAACACACACTGTATGTTGTCTGTCATCTATGGTTTCTAGCCCCAAATCTTCAGATGTGATATGTAACCTTGAATAATTGCAGTAACCAGGAATTTAAAAAAGCACCATGTGGTGGGGGACAATCACTAGAGAGAAAAATAGTAGGATAAGAGTGCTCTGAAGAGCAAAATGGGAAAAACAAGGAGTGGACTTTTGACTGGGGAAGGAAGAGGAAGAATAATACAGAACAAGGGGGAACAAATAATTTGAAAAATTAGTAGTGAATCATATTATGTTGTATTTACCTAAAATTACATAAAATACATAGTAACATATATGTATACATATATATGATGGTTTCAGTTGATACAGAAAAGAACTTTGACAAAAACTAATACCTATTCATGATAAAAATAAACCCTAGAGAGACTAGGGTGAAGGGAATGTATCTCAACACAATAAGCTATTCATCACAAAGCTAAATAGATAAAAACTGGAGTAAGTTCCACTGAAATCAGAAAACAAGGGTATCCACGTTCCCCACTCCAATTCTATATAGTGCTTAAAGTACTAGCCAGAGTGTTAAGACAAGAGAAGGAATTAAAAAGAAGTCAAAGTACCCCTATTTGCATATAATTTTTCTGTAACTGAAAGACCCCAAAGACTCCCCTAGATCTGATAAACACTTTCAGCAAGGTGGCAGGTCACAAAATCAACATACATAAATCAATGTCCTTGCTATATACCAAAGACAAATATACCTTCCCAATATCCTTAAACTTAAATAAATAAAATACCTTGGAAGAAACCTAACCAACTGTGCTTGTTTAAGTAAGAAACATCTCCCACAGGCTCTGGTATTTGAATACTTGGTTCTAGTTGGTGACACTGTTTAGGGAGGTTGAAGAAGTATGGCCTTGCTGGAAGAACTATGTCACTATGGGAAGGCTTTGAGAGCTTAAAGCCTTGCCCTACTTCCAAACTGTTCTCTCTGCTTCTTGCTTATGGCTAGGATGTGAGTTCTCAGCTTCCTGCTCCAGCTGCCTGATGCTGCCTGATGCCGCTATGCCTTCCTGCCATGATGGACTCTATCCCTCTGGAACCATAAACCCAACATAAATTCTTTCTTTCCTAAGTCACTTTTGGGAATAGTATTTTATCATAACAACAGAAAAATAACTAATACATCAAGGAAATGAAAGACCTATAAAATGAAAACTTTAAAACAATGAAGAACTTAAAGAAGACACCAGAAGCTGGAGAGACCTCCATGCAAGTAGATTAATAGGATGAATACTGTAAAACAAACTGGCCATCCTATCAAAAGCGATCTACAGACTCAATGTAATCTCCACCAAAATCCCAGAGCAATTGTTCATGGATATTGAAAATACAATCTTGAATCTCATATGAGTAGCACAAAGAATCCTGAGCAATACACATGCCGCTGCAAGTATTGCCATGCCTGATTTCAAAGATTACAGAGCCACAGAAATGAAAATAGTATTGTACCTGACGCATAAACGGCCCAGTTTACCAGTGGAAATAGAACTAAAGACCCAGATATAAGTACATGCACCTACAGCCACCCGATTCTTTTTCAGTTTTTTATTAATTAAATTTTTCATTTTTTTTTTACAATCTAACTACAGCTTCTCCTCCCCACTCCTCCCATTCCCTCCCCCACCTCCCCTCTGCCCCTCTTCCTAATCCACCCCTCCTCCACCTCTGTTCAGAAAATGGCAGGCTTTCCATGCGTGCCAACAAAGCATGGCCTATCGAGTTGAGGCAGGACTAAGCTCCCTGCTTTGTATTAAGTCTGGGCAAGGTAACCCAGCATTAGGAAGAGGTTCCCAAAAGCCAGCCAAAGCATTAGGAACCGGCCCCGTACCCACTGCCAGGAGTCCCACAAGTAGACTAAGCCACACAACCATCACACATATGCAGAATGCTTAGTCTGGTCCCATGCAGGCTCCCTAGCCCAGCCACCTGATTTTTGACAAGTGTCATAAATACACACTGGAGAAAAGACAGCATCCTTACCAAAAGGTGTTGTGAAAATTGGGTATCCAAACGTAGATTAAAATTGGATTCTTATCTCTCACCCTGTGCAAAAATCAATTCCAAATGGATCAACGATCTTAATGTGACACCTGAGACCTGAAACTCTGAAACTTCTAGGGAGCACACTTCAGGACAGGCTCAGATAATGACTTTCTCAGAAAATAGGCCCACCAATCAACAAGTAGGACTTCATCAACTTAAAAGGTTTCTATTCTGCAAGAGAAACTGCTAATTAACTGGAATCAACATACAGAATCGGGGGTAGAGCATGAGTCTTCACATCTGTATGTTACAGAGAATTAGTGTCTAAGGTATATAAAGAACTCAAAAAATTAAACACCAAGAAAACAATTCAATTTTAAAGTGGGCTATGGAAATGAACAGAACATTTTCAAAAGAACAAACACAAATGCTAAGAATAGTTTTTAAAGTATTTGATCCACTTAATCATTAGGGCAATGCAACTTAAAACTACATTTAGATTTAATCTACCCTAGTCAGAAACAGTTAAGACTACAAAAACAAGTGACAACAAAGGTCGGTGAGGATGTGAGAAGAGGCGAGCCCTCATTAACTATTGGTGGGAGTGCAAACCAATGTAAGTGTCAAAGAGTTTAATTGGAGTTACCCTGCAGAAAGGATAATATTTCTCCCAGAAGCCAGAGGTTGCAAAAAAAAAAAAAAAAAAAAAAAAAAAAAAAAAAAAAAAAAAAAACACCTCAATTCCAGGTACGAAATGCCTCCCCTTAAGCTGTTTGTCTGGGTTGTTCCAGATATCTCTGATAAGCACTGCATTCCCGGTCATTGGGTATCCTCCACCAATGCAATAAGCCAATCAAGCCAAATTAATAAGACTAGGTTTAAAAACAGAGCAAAGCAACTCCAGGGTGACTCTCAGAAAGGCAGGAGAGAAAAATCACATGGCAGGTCTATCAAGCAGGTTTTAAATATGGGAGAGGGGCTGACCCTTAGTGGGCTTTCTGAGGGTGGGGTTTGGAGAGGGTCCCCCTCCCCCCAAGCTGGAGATCCCCAACAATCCCCCAAACAACACAGGCTGTTGCTAGTGCTCTTGGATGCCCACTATAACTTGATGGTAAGACCCTATTGCTGAAATCACCATTTGGCCACAGGACTTGGAGTAATCAAGTTGGGGCACTTCCTCCCCACTGGCTAGCTTTCCTACTAATGAAAGCTACTGTGTAGGCTGCTGGGCAAGAAAAGCCGTTAACAAAGTCCTACCCAGCTGTGAAGCCTGCAAGCAGTAATAATGACCAGCCTGTCAAGGTATGCCAATAGGTACAGGGGTAACTTAATGCAAGGCATCAAGGAACTAAATTACTTGTGACAAGTACAAACAACGCTAAAAATAAAAGGACGTTTAACTAGCATCTATGTTATCTCTGTGAAGGAAAGAATATCGCCCTCTGTTGTTTTTTTTTTTCTTTTTTCTTTTAGTCTAAGAAAAGTCAGTATTGGTACAAAATGACTAGTGGATTTTTTGGTATTTACATAGCACTGAAGGGTACTTCATAATTATATAAAGAATCGCTATAGTGATCAAATAAGTTAGACACAAAGATATTACTTCTCTATAGACACATATCAAAGTATAAGTGTGGCAGCATTATGTTCAGGGTCATTTCAAAAATCACTAGAAATATCTACTATTCTTGTTCTATTTCATTTTCAAATATGTCAGAAGCTGGTCACTTCAGAGAAGTGCTGTACACATGGGTCTGGCCTGGTAGAAGATGTTTAACCTCTGCCCTCGGTCAGAGTTCTCCCACGATTCTCATCATTAGTTGTATTGCTGCACTGGAGGCCTCCTAGCCCCCATCTCCACAACTTCAACATTAGGGATCAGAATCTGTCTCCCTTTCAATCTGCCACGGGCAATGGCCAGTCTCTCAAGATTGACTGACCTATGTTCAACTGCTATTCATCTACTTTTCTATAATAGACTATGCATTAACTAAGATATATAAATGAGTAAGGCAAACAACTGTGTTTCACAAGACATATAAGCAGGGCATGGTGGTGCGTGCCTTTATTCCCAGAACTAAGGAATTCAAGGTCAGCCTGGACTGTATAATGAGTTTCAGGCCGGCCAGGGCTATATAATGCAAACATGTATTTTTAAAAATAAAATAGGAAAAGTATCTCATGTTAACAATCTCATTTTTAAAAAAGTTGAAATCACTATGCAATATGAACTTCACTGTGTTTAGCATGCACTTTTGTTTTTAAAGTATTTTCAACCTTTCTACCCTAAAGAAATAATAAATGGTGTAGACTAAAGTTCTCAGAGGAAAAGCCACATCTACTTTAAATATTCTACAAAGCTATCGACAGTTGGAATGTTACAGGACCAAAGCCAAATTATCTTGGGCTATCCTAACTCTGAAATAGAGGTCTACTCAACAGACGCGATTGAACAGCCTTATGATTAGGAGGTACATCCCAAAAGCCAAGAACAGGATCTGAGGCCTAGAGCAGAGCTCCGCAACTCTCTCACTATAACCACTGTCAAGGAAAGAAACAGCTCTCACCTCAAAG